TCAGTCGTGGTATTGAAGGTGGAAGAGAGCACTGTACATTCACTCCCCCCACCTACAATCCCTGACGGTACCAAGACTCGAACTCACAACCTTGGGTTATGAGTCCGACTCTCTAACCATTAGGCCACGACTTCCCTTAATATTTTTTATTACATTTTTCCTGTTGACATAGGAATAATATAAGGGTTAAGGCAATAAAACATGTTTTACACCTAAATTAAAATGTGTGTTATGTCTTTAGCAAACATTTAACAAAACTTAAAGGGTTAGTTCACCCAAAAATGAAAATTAGGCTGCGTTTTACTCACCCCCGATGCATCCTAGGTGTATATGACTTTCTTCTTTCAGACGAATCCAGTCGGAGTTATATAAAAAATTGTGTTTGATCTTTCAAGCTCTATCGTTGCACTCAGCGGGTGTTGCATTGCTTCTGTCCAAAAGACGTGAAATAAAGCACGTTTCCATAAAAAAGGTGTCTCACACAGCTCCTGGGGGTGAACAAAGGCCTCTGTAGCGAATCGATGCGTTTTTGTAAGAAAAATATCCATATTCAAAACGTAATAATCACTTTAATCAGGATGCTTTTTATTTCACGTCTTTTGGACAGAAGCAATGCAACACCCGCTGAGTGCAACGATAGAGCTTGAAAGATCAAAGACAATTTTTAATATAACTCCGAATGGATTCGTCTGAAAGAAGAAAGTCATATACACCTAGGATACATCGGGGGTGAGTAAAACGCAGCCTAATTTTCATTTTTGGGTGAACTAATCCTTTAACTAACTACCCTTTACACAAACGTCATTACAGCAGCTAAAAGTCCAATGCCCATAAAGACACTAAATGATTAAACATGTATAAAAATTTACAAATGATGAATAGTTTCCACTTTAGATTGAGTACTGCAAAAACATTAACAAATAATTAATAAATGATTTGTAAAGATGTGTAAATAGGGTGAATTCAGGTCATTTGGGACACTTTTTGCCATTCAGACGACTGCTCATAATGAGTTATGAGTTAATGAATAATATGTTAATGTGAATAGTTTGTGAGGTGCTTAAAATTACTAATTAAGCTAATTTTATGTGAACTGAAGTTTAATGACATTTGTTAGCATTAAAAAGTACATCAACAAATAATTTCTGCAAAATAATTTGTAGATTTTTAAAAAAGTGCATGATCGTATGAATTGAAAGTTTAATAACATTTGTAAGCATTAAAGGTGACATATCATGAAAATCTGACTTTTCCAGGTTTTAAGTGTTATAATCAGGTCCCCGGTGCATCTACCAACCAAGGAAACGTTATTGTGTTTTCGCAAGCGATAATGGTGTATTCGTTCTAATGCCATGGCGAAAGTTTGAGCAAAACCTGCTAACTGTTCTGCCTTTGGCTGCACAGACGAACACAGAACACTGTTCAGAGTCCCAGCCTCAGAGGAGACAACAGATTCTGGGGACACCAGAGACTTATATTACATATTGTAAAAAATGGCATAATATGTCTCCTTTTACTAATGATCCATATATACAGTACCATGGTATTACCATCTGATAGCATCACTATACCAGGATACTAGCACTGTACTTTTTTGTTTGGTGCAGATTTGAGAAAAATGAATGTTGCCGAGGTGTCTGATCACCTCTTCTTACCAGTGCTTCATTTTTGCACTCTCATCCATGTCTGTCACTGTATAAATAAGTTGTTTATTTGTAATTATGATGTTCAGATGATAGCAGAGACATTCCATTTCTCATGTGGTTACCTGCTGTTCTCTGACGCAAGCCGCTGCTCTTGTGTTCTGAAAGCCAGCAGTTTAACCGTGCAAGTAATTAAGTTTGTCAGCCATTGCTGAAGATGTATTCATTCATTTAGAGGTTTCACAAGCAAGATTGATTTAAGAAGACCACATTTTCCAAGTAATGACTGGAAGCATATGGATGCCACAAACATTTATCATCAAATAGATTGTTCGTACGAACACAAGTTCAGAGAATGGAGAAAAAGCATGCAAAGTTAGTTAGTGTAACTCCTGAAACAAAGGTGTGTGTGTGTGTGTGTGTGTTTTGGCTCCCCAAAGTTCAGGTTGAGGTAAGGTAAATTGTTCAGTGTATAAGACAAGATAAGTTGTTCGGTGTGAGATAAGAAAACCCTTGCGTGTGTGTGTCAGAGCTTTCTTCTCAATAGACCAGAGCTGAAGAATTCAAGTGAATTCCCCTCACACCTCTGAATTATTGTTCCCTGCATTTAAATCCTCTCAGAAACAATCGCAATTAATGCAGCGGACTGCATGTCAGAATTAATCTGGCTTTAGCCTAGCTCTCAGAAAAACTCAGCCATGCTCCAGTCACATCTTCAAATTACCCTGCACTCCTTTTTGCCGCAGCTTTTCCCTCTGTCATATTTGATCGATTGTTTGCAGAATTGCATAGGGTGAACAGTGAGGGCTTGAACACGGTGTGTTTTTCCTCTCTCTTGTGGTTTAGCCAGGTGATTATTGACATTTGTGTCCATAGGCCATATTTGATTGATTGATTTTCTCAGTCTGAGTACCTGTAATGATAGTGAGACCTGCAGATGAATCCAAGTGGTAATTAACATGAGTAATAAAAAGCTAATTTTAGACTTGCAATTTTGAAAGATAAAGTAACTGGCCATTGTTGACTTTTTTTTATTTATTTTTTTTAGCCTCTATACTTTTGTCTTTTGTAATGATGAAATTAAATTACATTAGAGCCATATCGCAGTGGTGTGACATATTTGTTATAGTTGACTCTGGTCATGACCCAGTTGCATGTCATACCTCCTGTCTCGGTTGTTTCCTTATCCTCCCTCCTTTACTGCACAATCAATGGCCAAAAAAAACTTTAATTAAATTATAATAAAAATATATTGCTTAATATTAGTGTGGAAATCATGAAACTTTTTTTTCAGGAATCTGAATGAATAGAAAGTTCAAAAGAACAGCACTTGTTTGAAATAAAAAATCTTTTGTAACAAATGTCTGATCAGTTTAATGTGCTGAATAAAATTATTACATCCTTAAAAAAAATCTTACTGACCCCAGACATTTGAACAGTAGTGTAAATTCAGTTTAAATATAT